GCTCTGGTCTGCTCTGCAGGTGAGTGGAGCCCGCTGCACCCGGTGCCCCCCATCGCTGCAGCCCCCACAGGCGTGAGGCCAGGGCAGGCGCAGCCACTGTGGGTGTGGGTAGGAGGCGGGCGGGGCCGGCCAGGAGACGTCCCTGCACCCCACGTGAGCCGTGCTGGGCCGTGCGCATCTGCGTGCCTTGCTGTGCTCGGGCGTGCAGGACGGCGCCCGGAAGGGCGTCTGCATCCCTCCCGCGTGCCTTGCTCACCCGGCTGAGGCTGCGTCTCCCTCCTGCAGCTGAAGATCCCTGACCTGTTCCTGGACCTGGACGTCGTGCCGGCCCTGCTCCACGGAGACCTCTGGGGGGGGAACGTGGCAGAGGATTCCTCGGGGCCCGTCATCTTCGACCCGGCGTCTTTCTACGGCCACTCGGAGTACGAGCTGGCCATCGCCGGTATGTTCGGGGGCTTCAGTGGCTCCTTCTACTCGGCCTACCACAGCAAGATCCCCAAGACGCCCGGGTTTGAGAAGCGCCAGAAGCTGTACCAGCTCTTCCACTATCTGAACCACTGGAACCACTTCGGGTCCGGGTACAGAGGGTCCTCCCTCAACATCATGAGGAACCTCGTCAAGTGAGCTTGCTCTCCTCTGGAGGGAGGCCGGTTTGCGGAGCTTGCCGGGGCCTCAAGGTCGGGTGCACCGGACCCTAGCCCGGTGCCTGCGGCCGGCCCCTCCCGCTCCTCCACGGCCCTCTTCACACACCTGGGGCAGCTTCAGGCCGGCCCCGCGAGCCTCGGGAAGTATGTAGTGTCTCGGAGGAAAGGCCACCCTAAAGCTGCACGTTTGTTAGTCTTCATCGCTGGGTAAGCCACACCAGCAACGTGATGTGAACAGAGGGACCTGTGGAGCGTGGGCCACGTCGAGCCACACAGCTGCCCCGGAGGCAGAGAGGGGCAGTGGCCGGTGCCCCCTGCACTGCTGCTGCGGGCACCTGCCACCAGCCCCTCCCGTCTCCTTTCCAGGAAGTTCCGGGTGTAGCTACTCAGTGGCTGAGGTGTGGGTTTGGGCACAAAACCGTCTTTCCAGGAGCATCTGATAGGACCAGCGCCCGCACTGAGCACATTCCCTGTGCTTCCTGAGAGACCTCGGGACCAGCCACAGGCTGGGTGAGTCTGAAAATGATTCGGGGAGCCACCAAACTGCCGGCCTCAGGGTGTCCCCAGTACACGTGGGAGCCGCATTGTGTCGCTCCTCTCAGCGCCGCATCTTGTCCGCCTCTCCCTGTGCGTCAGGGCAGCCAGCGCGAAGCTGGTGTCCCCCCTTCTGCAGCTGTGCAGATCGAGGAGCATCCGTGAGGGCCCTGATGCTGCTGAATCCTTCCGCGTAAACTTCAGTGGTTCCAGTGGTGCCAGAGATTGTTTTCTTCCTCTGAATTGTTCGGTGTTTTTCCTAGCTGTTTGCCAAGAAACCTTTGTAATGTATCATCATAATAAATTGTTTCTTAAAAGAGTGGTTTTTCCTTGACTTGGTTGAATAAGAGGATGGCTTCAAAATAAGGGCAGGCACAGCCTGAGGACTTTGTAACGTTTGACCCGGATGCAGTTTATTGCTGTTCCCAGAGCAGTGAAGGGAGGTCGAAAGCAACGGTCAAATCCCATTTCGGGAAGAAGCCCATCGGTGGCCCCAGCAGGTCTGGGGTCGAGCGGGCAGCACCCAGTGTCAGGGCGCCCCTGGTCTGCCTGCGGTGGGCTGGACAGGCGGGCCCCTCGGTGTGATCCAGAAGCAGAACAATGCTTCAGAGGTTTCTGTGGGAAGGGAAAGAGGACTGGGAGGGGTTTTTTTCTTTTTCTTCTTTTTCTTTTTTTTTTTAATTTTGGGGAGGAAGGAAAATGGGGAGAGAAAGATGTGTTGTTCCACTTACTGATGCATTCGTTGGTCGATTCCTGTAAGTGCCCCGACCAGGGACGGAACCTACAACCTTGGCCTTTCGGTGAGCTCTCACCCTCTGAGCGCCCAGCGGGGCCAGACTGGGACTTGTAACAACAGCCTGTGGCTGTGGGACTTGCGCACGCCGTGACTCCTAGGCTGCCACGGGCCAAGGTTTCCGCTGATTTTTTCTGGCGCTGGGGAAAGACCGATACCTGTCTCTGAGGGGGAGGGCGCCCCAAGCCAGCTTCATCGCAACGACATGCGTGCTGTGGCACCGCTAGTGCGAACCTGCTCCTCCGCTGAGACGGTTTTGGGGTGCAGCTCAGGGCTGCCCTTCCTCTCCGTGGCTGGTCAAGCAGGAGCAGACCGGTCAGCAGGCAGACACTGCATGGAATGCGTATTTGTTCCAACCGCAGATCTTAAAGGAAGTGTCTTCATTTCACGTTCCTGCAATTTGTGGGAACCGCTGAGTAGGCGAATGCCCAGATGGGCGTTTGGGAACCTAGAGTCCATGGTAAGAGGAAGGGACGCCTTCTGGCTCCCGGCGGGGGCCCTGGCCCTGGCAGGCCCTTCTGGGCTCAGAGACCCTGAGACAGGGAGGCAGCCTCCCTGGTGTCTGGTCGCCCCAGGAGGTGACAGGCCGCTGGGCTGTCAGCCTAGAAGAGCGTCCCAGGTCCTGCCCCAGGCCCCATCTCTTGGGTGCTGGGCCAGGTGCAGGGAATGGCTGGTTCTGCTCCACAGCGGCTTCCTGGGTCCCGACCTCACGCAGAGGCAGCACGGCGGCGTCACCCGGAAGGAGCGGAGGCCGGAGCTTTCCCGGACCACCGCCGCCAAGAACACGTCCGTCTTCCAGGGAGACCGCGGCAGCGCTGCGCCTGGGTCCGGAGGGTCACTGACCATGGCTTCGTGATGGTGCAGGGTCTGCCAGCTTTTTCACCTTCTCGGTTTGTTGCCCTGGCTCGTTCTAAAACACTTACTTTTGTACCCAGTTTTACATTCATAACCAAACCAACAGCCTCAGGCCGAAGGCCCCTGGACCCACCCAGAGCCTCTCTCCGTGAATGAAATCCCCCTGCAGGCCCCTGGCCCCTGGGGGGCCAGCTTCTGTTTTCTGGGTTCCCGGCCTGGCTGAGCTGGGGGTGGGGGTGGCAGGAGATGAGGTTTTGGTCGAGGGGAATAGTTTCGGGGGACAGTTGTGTGATGGTGTCCGTGCAGAGCCGCCTGCTGCGTCTGGATGGGTGGGGAGACGGCTCCACCTGCGGGCTGGTGGCGGTTCGGGACGGGCCAGGAGCGGTCCCTGCCCTTCGGGTGGCCGTGAGCACCGCAGGGAGATGGCCGCTGTCCCCAGGCCTCATCACTGGGACAGTTGTACTCAGTTCTCACTGAAAATGGGACTGTTGTATCAAAACACCTCATCGTCTGCGCTGACGCACGCGGCTCAGTGGGTTGGGCGTCGCCCCACAATTGGAAGGGTCGAGAGTTCTGTTCCCCGTCAGGGCACACACCTGGGTTGTGGGCCGGTCCCCTCCCATCCCCATGTGCCAGAGGCGACTGATCAACGTTGCTCTCCCTCTTTTTCTCCCTCCCTTCTCTCTGTAAAGATAAAATCTTTAAAAAAAATCCACCTTGGTATCTGCTGCTGTCCGGGTAGCAGCCTTCCCACAGACACGTGTGTTCAGGTAACTGAGGTTCACTTCCCACGACCCTGGAAGGAACGGGCGCTTTTCTGCCTTAGCCAGAGGGCGCCACTGCACTGGGCCCCCTGGGGTCAGAGTCAGTGCACCGGTCACTGTCCCCGCTGTCCGCCCGAGCGCCCTTCGGGCAGCCGTGTGCAGCCGGCCCAGGGGTCCCTCTCCTCGGTGTACGGGGGTCACGGGGACCCGTCCTTCTGCCGTATTTATTCGTTTCCCTTTGTGCCCAAGCCCTTCAGGAACCATCCCGGCCTCTGACCGGACGAGGGCTCGGCCCGAGGGCTCTCCAGGCTCGTGACACCCACGGCTGAGACACGGACGGGGCCCTCTGGAGCCCGGCGCTGCCCTGAATGCAGAAAGCCGAGGTTCCGCGGGCCGTGGGCGGCTGCGTCAGCCCCAAGCTGGGTGCAGGCCGCTGTGCGGGCCTCGCGGGGGCGCTGCTGTGCGGCCGCGGTCCGCCGGCCAGTGTGGGAGGGCCGCCTGGAAGCGCGCTCCGCTTCACCAGAGGGAGCACATGATGCACTGGAAGGGTGGCGCCACCTGACGGAGACTAGCTGGCAGGACGCCGACCTGGAGGGCTCTCCCTGCAGGTGGCTGCACCGTCTCCCCTCCCACCTGCTCTGACCTCAAGCACGCGTGTGCATAGGCGTGTGCATGCCTCTGTGCACACACGTGTGCATAGGCGTGTGTATGGAGAGTTCCCAGGGCGGCGGCCCCTGTAATCAGGAGTCCCATTCGCAGGGTGGGGTCGGCCTGGTGGTATCAGGAGCCCCAGAGCTGCCTCTGTGGCTGTGGGCACCGGGCGCCCCGAGGAGCCGACTCAATGCAGCGGTGGGTGTCCTCGGGCAGAGCCTGGGCCTGGCGGCACGAACTTGAGACTGACCCCAGACCCACCCCCCCACCTGGCCGGGTCAGTGTGAGACCTAGCCAGGGGGATAGCCTGCAGCCCAGGGCAGCCATCTCCCCTGGGCCTTGTCCTGGTCTGCTGATGGGGAGGGTTCCGAGTCCTGTGCGGGCTCACGAAACCTCTGTGTGGGGAGGTCGGGCCCTGCGGACCCCAGGGGGTGGAAACTGCACCCCGCTATCCAGGCACACTGACTACGCAGACACTTGGGGAGTGCCCCACTTCTGTGCCCCTATCGGAGCCTTCCCCTCTTTTTCTTCCCTCTCCTCCTCCTCCTGCTCCCTCCTCCTCCCTGAGAGGAGGGGCCAGGAGGCGGGGCCTGGAAGGCAGACTCCCGGGCTGGTGCTGAGATACCGCTGGCTTGCGCACTTGTCCCCTCCCCCGCAGACAGCGGCCTGGGCAGTGGCGAGCTTGCGTCCCAGGCTGGGCAGACGGCGCTATCCCCAGGTCCCTCTTCGCGTCCCCCGGCCGCCTCCCCCCCCCCACCCCGCCCCAGTCCCTGAGTTCCGTGTGTCCCCCGCCTCCATGGAGCAGCTGCTGCGCGCAGAGCTGCGCACCGCGACCCTGCGCGCCTTTGCAAGCCCGGGTGGGGGCTGCATCAGCGAGGGGCGCGCCTATGACACAGACGCGGGGCCCGTGTTTGTCAAGGTCAACCACAGGGCGCAGGTGCGGGTACTGGAGAGGGGGAAGAGGTTGGGGTGCAAAGAAGGTGGAAAGAGGGGGAGGGTGGGAAATGGGGGAAGGGTGGACAACGTGTGCTGGGTCGTGGGGAGGGGGTGGGGCACGGGACGCTGGGCAGGAGCACTGGACGAGGGTGGCCCCTTCCTGGGTCAGGCCTAGCGTTGCTGCCCCGGGGTCAGCCTGTGGCCTTGGAGCGGAGCTCTGCGGGCGAGCAGGGCTCCAGCATTCCCTGTGGGTCCTGGGGTTTCATCCGCTGCAGGGTTAGTAATTCTCGACCTTTCTTCACCAGTGTGCACCCGTTTTCGGTTGTTTGATTTAATTTCTACGGGAGGTGGGGCTTGGAGTCCTGGGCTGCTTTTGCCACTCTCCGGCCCCAGCTCCTGTCCCCCTTTCCCTGCCTCCCGCCATCAGCAGGTGTGAAAGAGGCTGAAAGGCCACCAGGACCCCCAGGGACCCCAAGGACCAGGCTCCCAATTCCCTCTACTCACAGGCCCTGCTGGTGTTCGCACCTGGTTCCATCTCCTGCTTACACTGGTTTTGTTAAACACTCGCGTGTATGAGAGTACAGCCCTTTACGCATGGAGAGAGTTGGCCACGCAGGTGCACCCAGGCCCTGAGAGCCGGCCTGGCCCGTTCGGGGTCTGGCAGTGGGGTGGGGGGAGGGGTGGCTGTGGGCTGGAGGGGAATCAGACAGGCCACCCCAGTGCCCCGCAGCACTGTCCAGATCTGGGAGGGGCTGGGGTGGGGGCTGGCCCAGCATCCCTGCTCCGTGGGCCCAGGAACTGCTGCGGAGTTTGAGTTCAGAAGAAATCCCTCTGAAGGAGAAGCCCTGTTCATGGGAAAGTGGTTTGGGGTTCGGGGTTCAGGCTGGCTCTGGAATCTGCACAGCTGGACCCCAGGAACTCTGCCAGGCTGGGCCCTCGCTGTTTACGCTTGAAACCCTCGATGCCAGCACGTAGCAGGGGCTCAGTGAGCGCAGGAGAGCAGGTGACAAGTGCAGCACTTGGGGCGCTGGCCACCGCTCTGCAGGGCTCCAGGCGTGGGGGACGCTGCTAGGAGGGCACTTTGCCTAGTTTCCCCTGCTGGCATTTCGAATTAAAGGATGGATCCTTTTGCCATGTGGACGTAGATGCTCTGGTCTCACCCACGAGGTTTGATTCTACAGCCAGAGTTGCTCACACACCACAATAATAAACACATTTTTAAAACTTTTATTTATTTCAGTCCTGGCTGGCGTAGCTCAGTGGATTGAGCGCAGGCTGGGAACCAAAGTGTCCCAGGTTCGATTCCCAGCCAGGGTAAATTCCTGGGTTGCAGGCCATAACCCCCAGCAACCGCACATTGATGTTTCTCTCTCTCTCTCTATCTCCCTCCCTTCCCTCTCTCTAAAAATTAAAAAAAACACACACACACACAAAAAAACCTTTTTTTATTTCGAGAGAGGGGAAGGGAAGGAGAAAGAGAGGGAGAGAAACATCCGTGTGTGGTTGCCTCTCACATGCTCTGTACTGAGGACCTGGCCTGCAACCCAGGCATGTGCCCTGACCGGGAATCGAACCGGCGACCCTTTAAAGGTTTGGAGGCTGGTGCTCAATCCACTGGGCCACACCAGCCAGAGCAGTAAGCACATTTTTAACTGGGTCAGAGTGTACCTATGGTGAGAGTTCCTCAGCTTTGTGGGGTGGCCTGTCTTTCTCCAGAGTGGGGTGCCTGGCGCCTTCCCAGCCCCTGGCCCTGCTGGGCGTTGATCTCTGTGGAGCCCTGGACCCTTCCCTGACCTCCCCCTGGCCCAGTCACTGCGGCATGCCACCCCAAGCCACCCTAGGCCCTCTTCCCTTTCCTGCGATTGCTCCAGGCAGTGAGGGGGTGGGCGACCTGGAAGGGAGCCCAGGGTCAGCACCAGATCCCCCACTAACCCACACTGTGAGGCATCCCCCCTGCCGGCACCCCCCGACACCCCCCAACACCCCGTGGAAGCCTGCAGCACCCTGTGGGCCCCCATCCCCACTGGAACCTGCCCTGTGGCCTGTGCTTCCTCCGTCCCTCTCAGAGCCAGTGCTCCCTGCAGGGCTGTCTTCCTCCTGCCCACCCCAAGCCCCAGCTCAGCCTCCCCCGTAGCTCCTCCCACCCTAAGGGAGCCACATTGCACTTGCTTCTGAGGGGCTGATGCCCTGCTCCCTAGCCAGTTTTCAGTAACTGACAGTTCTGGGTGCTTGTGACCCCTCTCGCTGGCTTCTGTCCAGGGCGTTGAGCCACAGCCAGGCTGCAGAGGCCTCTTTTGGAGTGGGGGCTCATGGCCGTGTTCTGGACGCAGGCCCGGCAGATGTTTGAGGGGGAGATGGCCAGCCTGGAGGCCCTCCGGAGCACTGGCCTGGTGCGGGCACCTCGGCCCATCAAGGTCGTCGACCTGCCTGGGGGTGGTGCCGCCTTTGTGATGGAGTACCTGAAGATGAGGAGCTTGAACAGGTGAGAGAGAGCGCCAGCTGCCCAGGTAACTCAGTCCGGTTGCCATGGCAGTGGTCCCGCCCACCCACCGTTCCTGACGCTAACAGGAGCTCCCGCTCCGTGGAGGGGGATGGGTGGTGCGGGTGAGGCTGCGTCAGAGACGTGCGTCGGCGCGTCCCTCGCCCGCGCTGCAGAGCGAGGCCTGGCCCAGTGATATCTGAGGTCTTTACATTTTCTAAAACTATTAAAGTTATATATACTCGCCTTAGAAAAAGAAAGGTGGAAAATGCACACTCACGTAAAGAATCCATAAGGCCGCCCGTGATTCCGCCAGCAGGCAGCAGCCGCCACTCACATCTTGGGGCGCCCCCACCCGCTCCGCTGCGCGCTCCCTGCCCAGAGCCTAGCCCGCGCCCTTGGGTCCCCTCGTGGCTGACCCCCTCTGCCCTCGCTGTCCGCCCCTCCACCCCCAGTCTGGCCTTTTTCTTGTGTGTGACTCATGTTTGTTTTACAAAAATTGGGATGTGGTTTTTAACTTGACGTTGCTTTTTGAGCGTTTGCCCCATCATTCTCAGTACTTCCCACGGCTCCCGTGGACAGCCACCTGCTTCCCACCGCGTGGCGATTTGACACGATTTCCTGCAAAGGGTCACCACCGCCTGCCATTCTTTTTTCACTTTTTATAGCACGGGGAGTGGTTTTTGAGGTGTTTAAAATATTTCTAAGTGTGGAACAGGCTAGCTGGTGGTTGACATTTCCTCCTTTAATGGGCCGCATTCCTCCTTTCTTCAGCCAGGCGTCGAAACTCGGAGACCAGGTGGCGGACTTGCACCTTCACAACCGGAAGCTCCGGGACAAGTCGAGGGAGGTGGAGAACACAGTGGGTGCGTTCAGACCACCCCCGCCCCGCCCCGCTGCGTGCTTGGCCCAGGTGCACCCACCCTGGGCTGGCGCTCAGGGCGACGTTTCAGTAGCGGGTCCTCGCCTCCGCGCTCAGTGCGGGAGTGAGGTCGTGGCGTAGGAGTGTCGATGGCGCCGATGAGCACGCGGAGTGGGCTCCTCACCCCTTTCACACCCAGCCCCGCCGTCCAGGGGGCCGCGGCCCAGGGTCCTGGCCGACTCACGTGCTGCGCAGTTGCCAGCCTGGGTGGTGCGCCCTCGGACCACCCGCGTTCCAGCAGGGCAGCCAGGCCTGTCCTGACGCGGGGCCGGGGCCGGGGCCCGGGGTTTGGGGGAAAGACGGCGTCTCTTCCTGTTGGTAGGCCGGAGGGCGGAGGGCGCGGAGCCCCAGCCTGTGAGCAGGTTCGGCTTCCACACCGTGACGTGCTGCGGCTTCATCCCGCAGGTGAGTGCCGGGTTAGCACGTGCCCGCTGAGCTGACGGCCGCCTCCGGCACCCTCACGTCGGGCACCCCACCCCTTGCGCGTGGCAGCGTGCTGGTCCCCGGCCACCGGGAACACTGACCACCCGATTTCTGAAAGCAGAGAGGGTGGGCGGTGATGCCTGGGATGGGGGAGTTGGGCCTGGGGGTGGGAAGCCGTGGGGCAGGTGGGAGAGCGGTCCAGGCAGAGGGAACAGCAGGCTGGGGCGTATTTCAGGAAGGCACGTGGCGCATGGGGGGCTGGGTGGGGACAGAAGCGGCACGTGAGGTCGGGGGATAAGTCCTGGTCTCTCAGCGCCTTTCCTGGGGCTTTAAAAAACCAACGACACTGTTAAGATGCGACCCACGTGGCGCCAACACTGCTTTAAAGGGCACAGTCCGGTGGTTTCCAGTGGATTCAGGATGCTGTGCCACCAGCCCCGCCCACTTCCAGGAGACGCGCCTCCCACTGCCCCACCCCGAACTCTGGCAGCCACGAATCTCTTGCTCTTTCTGGGTTTCTCATTGTGGACGTTTCACGGACGTGCCGTCGCCCAGTGGCCAGCCTGTTGTGTCTCTGCGCAGTGTGGGCGGCGGGTGGTGCTCCAGGCTGAGGTCACTACGGCGAGTCTGAGGCAGACTTGGAGATCCCAGCCCAGGAGCAGGCCTCACATGTGGGGCTTGCTAGGACCCCTTAAATCTCATGGCAGAAGCCAGCTTCCTGGGGGGGGGTGCGCACCTGCCTGGAGCTAGTGACCAGCACAGTCATGCGATCCCCAGCAAGTACGGCTGAATGGGGCTCATTGTCCTGCTTCAGATGTCAACCTCACACAGTGGCTTTTCGAGAACCAAGGGATGAACTCAGACGCAGGTGTGAAGCAGGTGAGAAGGGCTGGGCCGTCAGGGGCACAGGCAGCTCTTGAGTGGCCCTTCAGAGTCCAGATCAACAAGCCAACTCAGGTCGGCTGCAGTGCGGCCAGGAAGGGGCGAGGGATGGGAGGACACCCTGGAGACTGGTGGAGTGACCCTGAGCGGTGGCGGAGGGCTCGTCAGAGGGCTCGTCAGAGGCCTGGCGCGCTGAGTCCCCGTGGGACCAGGGGCTCAGCTGTGTGACGGACATGCTGTGCCCTGAGCACTCTTCTAGGTGCTTTATCCTGCTCAACCTGCCCTGTTGCTGCAGCAACCTGATAAGATGGGTCACACGGACCCAGCAGGTGGATGAGGAAGCTCATGCGCAGAAAAGCCAAGCAATGATCCTGAGGTCGTGTGGCTAGTCAGTGGAGGCTCCAGGATTTGACCCACAGCCTGGCTGCTAACTGCTCACACTACCCGGTGCCTCTGTCAAGGTGAAGGGCGGTCCCTCCACCAACTGCACTCCCAGGTGGCCCTGCCTTTGGTAGCTCAGGGGTAGGTCATGGCTTCCCGTGGGTGAGAGGATTATGGCCCCTCTGTCCAGGTGAAAGGACTGGGCTAGCCAGTGCTGGCCTCCAGCTCCCAACTTCTACCTGTATGACCTGGTCATCCAGGAGGAAGACAGAGCTTCAGCCGCTGGGGCCTGGGCAGGCCACCCCGTGGCCCTCAGGCTGTTGGAGCAGGGCCTCCCCACCTGCTCTCGAGGTACACCCAGCACCAAGGGGGTGAACCCAGGGGCTGAGTGACCATGGCACCCAGCCCAGGGAGATTGGGACAGCTCCCTGAAAAGCTCCATCTCTACGGAGCTTCACAAAGGAACCTTTTGTGTAAAATCAGCTCTGCATTAAAAAAAAAAAGATTAAAGTGTAATTGACACGAAAGGAACTGCACCTATTTCAAGTACCCGATGTGGTGAGTTTCGACCTCGTGAACCCCTCACCACAGTCGGCATGATGAGTCTGTCTGTCACCCTCAACAAGTGTCCTCTTGCTCTCTCTCCTCCTGACCGGCCCTGCTGCCGCCACCCCTGAGCTGCCTCCTGTCACCACAGACAAGCTGCGTTGTGTGGAGCTCAGTGTAAACGGAATCACACAGTAAACATCCGGGGTCTGGCCTCTTCCACTCGGCAGAACCACTCTGACGTTCACCCACGTTTCCGCGTGTGTCTGCAGTCCGCTCTGCTGCACGCAGAAACCTCGGTCTCTGTTGTTGTCTGTTCACCCGTCGGTGGACAGCTGGGCTGTTTCCAGGTTTTGCTTTCACAAAGAAAGATGCTACGCACCTTTGCAAACAAGAGCTTGTGTGGACCAACGCTTCCATTTATTTTGGGTAAATAAATACCTGAGAGGGGAATCCCTGCATCATGTGGTAGGTTCACATTTAACTTTTTAAGAAACTGCCAAGACATTTTCAAAGCGTTGCGCCATCTACGTTTCCACCAGCCGTGTATGAGAGTTCCGGGTCCTCCACGTGCTCACTGCACTTGGTGGTTTCTGTCTTTAAAACTGGCGGCTGCAGTGAGTGGGAAGTGGTACCTCACCGGAGCTGTTCTCCCTGAGACGCAGCGATTTGGAGCATCTCTTTCTGTGCTCGCTTGCCACATAAGAGGGATTGAAACGTTCAGGGTTATTTTGTCCTCCTCATCCATGGCCCCCTTTGCCGTGAATGACTTTCCTTCCTGTACCTGGTGATGTTCTTTGCGGAAACCTGCATGGTCTGATGGTGACAGAGCCACTCCAGCCTCCTTCTGTCTAGTGTCAGCGTGGCACACCGTGTCTATCCTTTCAGCCTTGCCCTGTTTGTGCACGTGAGGTGCGCTTCCCCTCCGCAGCTTACATTGGGTCTTGCTTCCTTTGTGCAGCCTGCCCGTGCCTGTCATTGAACTAGGGTGTCTAGACCATTCACATGTAATGTGCTCATTAACATGGTTAGGTTGGGTCCATCGTCTTGCTATTTGTTTTTAACTTGCCCTGTCTGTTCTTTGTTCTTCTTTTCCCCCTTTATCTTCTCTCTTTTGTTTTTTACTTATTTACTTTTAGAGAGAGGAAGGGAGGGAGAAAGAGAGGAAGATAAATATCACTGAGTGGTTGCCTCTTGTGCGCCCCCTACTGGGGACCTGGCCCACAATCCAGGCGTGTGCCCTGACTGGGAATTGAACCAGCAACCCTTTGGTTCGCAGGCTGGTGCTCAATCCACTGAGCAACACTATCCAGTACTTTTCTCTCTTTTGGATTAACTGTGAATATTTAATGATTCCACCTTATCTCTGCTGTGGGCTAGCTGTACTATTTGCTGTGTTCTTGCAGCGGTGGATCCGGGATATAGGCAGATTCTGTGTGTAGCCGTCCTGTGACCGCCAGCCACAGCATCAGCCGCTTCTCCCTTGCTGCCTAGGTGAACGAGTGGCAGGACGACTGGGCGACCTTCTTCGCCCGGCACCGGCTCCAGGCACAGCTGGACCTCATCAAGAAGGACTACGCTGACCGAGAGGCACGAGAACTCTGGTCCCAACTGCAGGTGGGCATGGCAGTCATCCTCTGAGAGAGGGCTGTCCTCCTGCGAGCCCGCCACGTTGGTGTGGGGCCCTCTGGAGTTGGGGCCACTGAGCCCTGGACAGAGCTAGTCAAGCCGAGGGCTCACGGTGCCTGACTACTGACCTGATGGGGGAACTGGGAGGAGTGGGGCTTTAGGATACGCTTGTCCCCTGAGTGTCCCCAGGTTCTTAAACCTCAGACCTTGCTCATGTGAAACACAGGTACTTGGGTCATAAACGCTAGCATTTACTATTACTTTCTTGTCCACTTTTACCCTGTTCTTCCGTTTCTGCCACAGCACGAGCATTTCAGCTCTTAGAGCAGATGGGGGCAGCAGATGCCTGAGGGCTTGCTTTCAGAACAACGCCCGAAATGTTAAAAATGCAATTTGCATATCAGTCTAGGGTGAGCTGCATTGAAGAAGTGTTTAACTCTTCAATGAGGTAACTGGTAGGACACAGAAGAGGTGCAGACACAGGTGCTGTAAATAAACGACAAGTGGAGAAAGTTTGCTAGGGGAGGCACAAAACACCTTCACTGAAGTTGTATGGCCCTTGTTCTGTAGGACATTAAAACCGAAACCTCTCAGGCCCAGTACCGTGTGGAAACCATCAGTGTTGTAGAGCTTCTGGGCCCGAGCCTGAGGTCAATGGGAAGACAAGTGACACTCCCCTGGGGTCGGAGGGTCCTTATCTCTGGCCTTGCTTGGACCTTGAACAAACACGAGGCCATCTTTGCCTCAGATCCCTGTATTGCATGAGGAGCCTGGCTGATAGTCCCGTGATAACTAGCACCCACTAATTATTTCCGTAGGTGAAGATCCCGGATCTGTTTTGTGGCGTGGAGGTCGTCCCCGCCCTTCTCCACGGGGATCTCTGGGCAGGAAATGTGGCCGAGGACGACTCCGGGCCCATTGTTTATGACCCAGCCTCCTTCTATGGCCATTCTGAGTTTGAACTGGCGATTGCCTTGATGTTCGGTGGCTTTCCCAGGTCCTTCTTCACTGCCTACCACCGGAAGGTCCCCAAGGCTCCGGGGTTCGACCGGCGGCTGCTGCTGTACCAGCTCTTTAACTACCTGAACCACTGGAACCACTTTGGGCGGGAATACCGGAGTCCGTCTCTGAGCACCATGAGGAAGCTGCTCAAGTAGCAACCTGTCCGTGTCGCTGCCCACCTGTCCACCTCCTCAGCAGACACCTGGGGGGAGCGACAGCAGGGCCAGCTGCAGGGGCTGACTAATAAAGCCAGTGGGGGCTTCAGGGACGGAACTGCTGTGTCTGATGTTCGCCTGCATCTCCATTCTCTGTGCACACGGGTGTTTACAAAGTGCTCAGACCACCGGAAGGTCTCCAGCGGACCCATTACATATCCGTCTGGGGGGTATTTGAAGTTTGGATGTTTTCACAATACTTGTATAGACATTCATACAGATTTGGGGTTTGCTTATGTGAAGATGGTGCCCCACCCCTGCGGACGTGGGGCCCCTGTTTTAGCTCAGGTAGTGTGGGGGACCATAAATTGTGTCCTACTTCTTAAGCACCTCTGGGCATGGGTGGGTCTCCACGTCCACCCTTGAGGTGGGACAGACGCAAGGAAGGGCCCGGATGTTGTGGCCCTTCCGAGTTCAGGCTGCAGCCACTGCCCAGCCCCTCTCCTCTCCATTTTTCAGCTGGTGTGTTTTCCACTGGATAAAAAGGAGGGGGGCAGCAGGGAGAGAGGCTTTGGGCACTGGGGTGTGCCCCACAGCCAGGACATCTGCGGTGTACAGGGTGGTTGGGATGTCAGGCTCTCTGGGGACCCGCAGTACCTAGCAGTGGCTGGCGCTTTGTGGCCAGGGCATCTGGGTCCCACTTGTGTGGCTCCAAGGTCAGGAGGCCATGTGATTACCACTCTTCAAAAAATTACCCATTAATTCACACAGGTAGGAATGCCCAAATTTCTCTTTTTTGGGAAGTGGGGTTGTCTAGTGGGATTCATCCCCAATGGAGACAGAGGAGCCTATTGAAGGCTTTATAGAAGGAATTCCACCCCAAACACTTTCTTCTAGACAGCTGACCATTTCAAACGCAAACCGCCACCGTGGGCAGAAGCCACGTCTGCAGGACACGATAGCTGGAGCTCGAGTGCGCAGAGGCGGCCAGGGCGGCTGCAGGACCTGCAGTGATGATGGACGGGTGCTGGGAGCCGCGCGGGACAGGGCATCAGGGAGCCGATGGGCCCAGACCCGGAGAGTCTACTCCAAACTCCAGCGTGGGCTGCATCCCAGCCGGGCCTCTAGGTCCAACATCCCTACGAGCTCAAACCCCACCGCCCCGACCCACGAACCCAGACTTCCCTGACTCCGCCCCCACCACGGGCCCAGACTTCCCTGACCCCGCCCCCCACGGGCCCACACCCTCCTGACTCCGCCCCCACCACGGGACCCGGACCGCCCGGACTCCGCACTCCCCCCCTAGCCGAGATTCCCGACTCTGCAGGGATTCCACCCGCTCCCGGCCCCAGCTTCACGCCCTGGGGCTGGGCTCTCCCGGGCCCCGCCCCTCCCCGCCCCGCCCCGCCCGACTGGGCTCCGCCTCCGCGCGCCCTATTTTGACGGCCGACGCGCGCCGTAGCGGGCACCGCGCGTGAGGTCAGAGGTCGCTGGGCGCGGTCTGCGTCGGCTGCTCCCTCAGCCGCCTCAGCGGTCGCCGGCGTCCTGCATCTCGCGTCCCGGTGCCGAGGATGGGTCTGAGCGAGGAGCCGCCCGCGGGCGCGCCGGAGGATGGGCTGGAGGACGAGCCGGAAGACGGGGTCCTGGCCCGCGGCGGCGCCCTGGAGGCTTTCGGCGACAGCGCGGAGGCACGCGCGCTGCTGGGCGGCTTGCGGGCGGTGCTCGGGGACCGCGCGGCCCGGGAGGGCGTCCTGCAGCGGTTCCGAGGTGCGTGCGGTCCCGGGGGCGGGCAGGGGGCCCTGGCGCTGCCCGGGGTGCGCCCTGGGCTGGACCCGCTTCCTTTCCGGCGTGACCGCCTGGGAGCCGCTGTGGTGCGGGCGCGACCGCGCCCAGGGCGGAGGGTGGCCGCGTGGGCCCGGGACCTGCCTCCTCGCAGGTCGCGCTGCTGCGGCGAACTCGGGTCCTCGGACCGCGCGGGGCCCCGGGGCAGGGAGCCGGAGCACGAGCGGTGGCGGAAGCCGGTGCCTGACAAAGGCCCGCTAGCTGACAGCCTCCCGCGCGGGCTGCCGAGCCGCGTGCCGGCCGGGAGAAGGACCGGGCCCCGGGCGTGCAGCCCCACTCCCGGCCCTGAGACCGGGGAAGCAAGCAAGCGTGGAAGGACGGATCCCCGCCGCTGCCGGCAGAGGGGGGTGGGGACACCCGCGGAGTTGTCCGCGCCTTCGGGGGTCGCGGAGCCGGGGGGGGGGGCGGTGCTCGCCTGGGGCTGTGTCGGAGTCAGCGCTGGAGCAGGGACGGTGTCACCGGCCCGCGGCGAGCGGGTGCCGCTGTCCGGTGTCTCTCGCTCCACCTGCCGGGGTTTCACGCCGGACCCTCGGACCAGCTCCTCGTCCCGGAGAAGCTGCGGGCGGGGGGTGTGTCCCCGGACCGTCGGCGGGAGTGTCGGGCGGTGCGTGGCGCTCCTGCTAGTGTAGTTTAGTCTTTCTTTCAGCTGAGACCGTGTTTGCGGACCCTTTTAGCTGAAACTTAGGAGGTCTGGCTGGGAGGGCGTGTGGTGGTGGGGAGCCAGAGCGGGGAGGGGCCTGTGTTTAAGGGAGGGGAGACCTGAGATGGGCAGCGAACGGGGGAGGGGAGGAGGGGGAGGAGGGAGGAAGGGTTCTGAGAGGGGGGCGTGCCCAGCAAGCCCGGAGGGGCACCGGCACCACCGGGCTGGGCCCAGGGCTCTGGGGGGCTGCCCTGGGAGTCTGGGAGGGGAACTCGAGTGTTTCTGGGCTCCTGTGCGTGTTGGCCTCAGTCGTGTTAATTCTGACGGTTTTCTTTCCAGCAATAATGGACAAGTACCAGGAGCAGCCTCACTTGTTGGACCCACATCTTGGTAAGAGAAGGGGCTGATGACTCTGATTCTGGTCGCTCAGCTGCAGGTGGCCCCAAAGGGCTCGGTGTGCGCACCTGCCCGCTGAGGGTATCGGCACAAAGTGCCTGGGTCTGGGCAGCGGGGGCCGTGAACCCCACGCGTCCCTCGAGGCTGCGGGCTGTGCCTTGGAGCTGCTTTCCTCTGCTGCCGGGAAAGGACACGCCTTTACTCTCCGTGGACGCTTTGCTCTGCCTGCCTCTGGTGTGTTTTTTGCATGGGAGCAAGTGCTCTGGGTGGGTCCCCACTTAGTCCTCACAGCACCTGAGGCAGGTGCTCCCAGGAGCGCAGCTTGGGTTTCCACAACTGTGGGGTCTTGCTTGCTTGTTTTTAGGAAGGCGAGGGAGGGAGAGAGGGGGAGAGAAAGTTCAGTTGCCTCTTGCACGTACCTCGATCGGGACCAAACCTGCAACTCAGGCGTGTGCCGGACCCGGGATGGAACTGATGACCTTTTGGTTTTCACGATGCCCAACCACCGGAGCCACACCCGTGAGGGTGTGCTTCCGTAACTTTCATGTGGGAGAATGATCTTTTGGTATCTTCCCTCTTTTTACATATTTATTTATCCATAAGTATGCATCACTAATGAATGAAGATATTTACTTTTTTTTTTAAAGATTTTATTTATTTTTAGAGAGGGAAGGGAGGGAGGAAGAGAGAGAGAGAGAAACATCAATGTGCGGTTGCTGGGGGCCGTGGCCTGCAACCCCGGCATGTGCCCTGACTGAGGAATCGAACCTGTGACACTTTGGTTCGCAGCCCGCGCTCAATCCACTGAGCTACGCCAGCCAGGGCACTTTTTATTTATTTTTAACCTATTTCATACTGAGAGCAGTGTTTCCTCCCATAAAAAGTAACACATGCTTATGGTGGTGAGCTTGGGAAGGGGGAAGGAAGGTGGGGCAGAGGATGGGCACGTGAGTCGAGAGCCAGACCACCTGGATTCACGTCCCAGCCCCACCACTCCGCTGCTCTGCTCCTGAGCCTCCTCACCTGTGAACCGGGTTGTCCGCACTGCCTGCCCCCGCCCCCTCCCCCCGGCAGTTGAGGAGGAACGGTGTGAACGTGTAGGCACCAAGGGTTAGCTTCGCCGTACACGCATGCACCTTCTGAAAGGGGGCTCGTGCGGTGTGTGGTGTTCAGGTAACCCGCAGGTTTCTAGAAGGTGAGCTTTCTGAGCTCCCTGCGCTCTCAGGCAGCGCAGCGTCGTCCTTGGTTGGCAGCCTGGCTGGTGAGATGGGACCTGCATCCAGTGATGCCCAGGCCCCAGGGCTGAGTTTCTGCTTCAGGCGCTCTTTTTCCCCTAAAAGCTTCTAGAACCTGATGTTTCACGAGGGTGCGCCCTGTTCCAGGCCGTCTTTTCTCGCACCAGGCGGTTTTAGGTTGAAGACTTGTGCCCTTCAGCATGAAGAGCTTTGCTTCTGGAGTGTGTGTGGTCGTCTCTCTGCTCCTGCTCTCCCTGCTGCACCTGGGAGCTGGGCGCTGGAGTCTGCAGGAGCAGCCCTCCGGGTCCCTGGCGGTTCTTCCCCTCACGGTTCTGCCGTCCGGTCTGTGGTTCGCACGTGGACGCTGTTTCTGAGCTTGTGTTGCCGGTGGTTTCTGCTTCCGGAGAGCTCTCTCGATTCTGCATCCCGCATCTTTGCCGCAGTCACTCGCTCCGATACGCTCTGTGGAGCCTGTAGGCTCCCGCGCCGCCTGTCATCTGCACAGAGCGAGAGTCTTGCTGCCCCCTCTCCAATCTGGATGCCGTTTCCCTCTTGCTGTTGGACGTGTCTGGGCCTGCAGCGCCGTGCCGTGGGTGCGACGTGTGGCGGCCGGCCGCCTGTCCTCTAGAGGAAGGGCTTGCAGCCTCTCGGCCGAGGGTGGTGGCAGCTGTGGCTTGTGATGCGTGGCCTTGCTGTGTGGAGATGTGTTTCCGCTTAGTTGACGGTTTGGATCCCAAAATGACACTGAATTTCGTCAGATGCATTTTCTGCACCTCCTGATGGTCGCGTGGTTTTGTATTCTTTGACTTTCCTTTCACTCGTTCTGTCAGATCCTGAGGAGCACAGAAATCTTCCGCTGTAGGTACAGGCCTGTGTATTTCTCCTTTCAGTTTTCAGTCTTTGCCTGATTTAGAAGCTCTGTAACTTGTCTAAATTAACAGTTTTATAGCAGATGTTTTATATATCTCTTTTTCTAGAGTGGATGATGAATATGTTGATGGACATAGTGCAAGATAAGACGTCTCCAGCTGACCTCGTACACCTGGCTTTTAAATTTCTGTACATCATCACCAAGGTAACACCTACCTAGTACTTCGTGGTTGGCAGAACACTTTCTTAATACACTTGTTCCACAAGTTACCTTTCAAAATGTTGTTTCTTGGAAAAGGTGGTTTGGACCCACAAGTTGTGAGTTTTATTCTTTCTCTTTACCCTGTTTTTGGGATCCGATATTAGTGTCCCAGGGGTTCCTTCAGCTGCAACAGTGTCCCAGGCACTGAGGATTTTGCATTTGCACAGAGCAAGTACCACCTAACTAGAAAGGAGGAGAGACGAACTCGGTGACTCATCCAACAAAGTTCTTTGCGAGGGAAAAGCAGACACACTTGGTGGAAATGCAAGGGCTCCTCAAACTTGAGTGTTGAGATGAATGTCCTGGGGACCTCGTTGTCATGAAAGTTCTTGTGGGCATGTCTGGGGTGGGGCCCGATGGTCTTCGTTTTCACAAGCTCTCAAGATGCCCCTGTGCTGGCCTGCACTCACTGACGGTGGTTTTGAATGAGGGGGCGACTCAGCCATCTCGGGGTGGGTTTGTGGTTCTGGGGGTTACACGTGGCAGTAGGGTCCCCCTGAAGGTGTGGTGCTGCTGCATTTTACGGGAGTCTTCCTGAACCTGGGACCTGCGAGGTCCTCTGGGGCTCAGTCTACATGTTGACCCGAGCACAGTCATACAGACAAGGCTGGAGCCAAACTTCTTCGTGGCGTGTTTGCGGTGAGCCACGGGGGAGATGTGTCAGTCAGACGGGGACCGAGCATGCCCGTAGGAGGTGACTTAGGAAACCAAGACGGTTTCCTTATCGTTCATTCTTCCTGAGTCGTGTCACTGGGATGCAGTGGGATTGTCTTTGATCGTCCGGTGGCGCAGGTGGTGACTTCCGACGAGGAAAAGTAATTTGTTCCTTTCTGTATTTTTTAATTATGTGACAATTCAATGCCTTTTTTTATTTGGTAGGTCCGAGGATATAAAACATTTCTTCGCCTATTTCCTCATGAAGTAGCCGACGTGTGTCCAGTTCTGGACATGGTGGCAAACCAGAACCCCAAAGACCATGAGGTGAGTGTCCGTCGTCCCCCCACTCCCGCCCCCCCCCCCCGCACACTTCCTGTGCGCCCCCCCTCCTGCTCTGGCACCGTCGGCTGCCTGTTTCTTCCGGTTCTATCTGGTTACTCTCATTTCTTTTATTCTTTGGCTTTCTTACTTTTACATATTTAAACTTTCTTTTAAAACAATGCCTCTATACAAAAATATGGCCCTGGTTGGTGTGTCTCAGTGCGTTGAACATCAGCCTGTGAACCAAAGGGTTGCCTGTTTGATTCCCAGTCAGGGCACGTGCCTGGGTTGCAGGCCATGTTCCGGGTTAGGGGTGTGCGAGAGGCAACTGATCAACGTTTCTCTCCTTTTCAAAAAATAAATAAAATGATTTTTAAAATGCCTGTACAGTACGGTGATAACTGTGTCACCATCCAGTTTTCTTTAACTTGAAATACAACTATGTTGGAGGATATTTGCTTAGTGAACTAAGTCAGGGAAAGACAAATACTGTGTAACTTTGCTTATATGTGGAATCTCAAGAACAAGGTAAACGAGCAAACAAAATTCAAGCACACTCGTAGACATAGAAGGAACTGGTGGTTGCCAGAGGGTACAGGGCTTAAGGGACTGGGACAGGGGTGTCAAACTCATGTTTACCAGGGGCCACATTGCCCTTGCAATTGCCTGCAAAGGGCCAGGTGTAATTTTAAGACTGTGTAAATGTAACTTCTCCTTAACTAGGGGCAAGGAGCTCTACATTTTGCCCTTTAAAGGCAACCATGGAGCTGATGTGGCCCCCGGTGAAGATGAGTTTGACACCCCTGGACTGGGAGAAAGAAGTACAGATTGGTACTTACAGAATCATCACAGGGCCGTGAAGTGCAGTGTAGGGAATACAGTGGTAACTCTGCACTGTGCCACGTGGGTACTGGAAATACTGGGGAGTCACTTTGTGAAGTATCATGTAACCACAACCCCGTACACCTGAAGCTAATTCAAAATAATATTGAAAGTAAACTGCAATTGAAAAATTAAAATTAACTACATTGGGGGTCACCCAGACCACCCCCAAGTTCGATTTCCCAGGACCACTCACAGGAGTCAGCACGTGTTGGGTTGGTCAAAAAGTCCGTTTAGTTTTTTCCATAAAATAGAAGACACATTTTTCATCTTCAGCTTTATTGACTTGGATATTTTGAGTATGTTGGCTGTCCCCCACGTGGTATGATGTTGATGGTTCTCAAGTAATGTCTTGATTTGATCGCTGTCAACTTCAGCTGGTCCACCCAACTGTGGAGCATCGTCCAGCGAAAAATCTCCAGCGCAGAACCTCACAAACCACTTTTGACACGTTTGATCAGTCACAGCACCTTCTCCATACACCGCACAAAGCTTTTTTTGTGTTTCAGTTGCATTTTATGTTTCTTGAAATAATAAAGTACAATCTGCTGAAAATGTTGCATATTTTCTTCCATCTTCAATATTAAAATGTCTGCACAAAAATTCACCAATTTTGATAAGTTTTTTTAACACACGCTGACATGACAGCTTTCACAGTACAGTTTAACAAAATTGTTTTGAATTAAGTTAAGGACACCTAAGCACTACTAGAGCCATCACATGGAAAAAAAACAAATGAACTTTTTGCCCGTCCCAGTCGTTGTGCTACATGGCTGGGGTTTATTCTAGCGACATCGGCAAAGGGAAAAGGCGCACAGGGGACCACTGGGGAAAGCGGCAGCAAACCCCCAGAGTCTGCTCCTGGTTGTGTCACACTGAGCACTCGTGCTTCCCAGCACCGAGTTGCGACAACACGTGTGACGCGTCCCCCATGAAAGGTCATGGAGACAGACCCGGGGCTTCTGTGGGGGCTGGTCACGTGGGTACCCTGCCTCTGCCTAGCACACGCTATAACTTAGGCTCACAGCAGGAAAGCAGGTGGTCAGCACAAGCCTCGTCACCCTGGCCGGTCAGGGGGCAGGTTCCCAGAGCCCCGTCTTCAGGAGGGCAGCTGACGGTCTGCCTGCCCTTCGTGGAAGGTGCGGCGCGCCCTTCCCGCTTGCCACCTCTGCCTCTGCCTCGAGCCCCCACGGGGACTCGAGGGCCAGAGCGGAGCCCCATCTTCCTGCCGAAACTGAGGCACTTGCCTTTGATCGAGGTTGAATTTTTTTTTCTTCTCAAGTCTTCTGTTTTACCTGATTTCTGCTTTCCACTTTCTCAAAAGACTGATTGCATGCTGAAGGGTGAAGACAAGCTGTGAGAGTGATTGTTAGGATTATTCTTTGTTCACTTTGCGTTTCTTTGGTCTCCCGCGGTAGCCAGGTCCATGATGGGGGGGGGGGGTGTGCTGGGAATGACAAAGGGCCCCCACCCTCGCCCCGCAGCTGGTGGTGTCGGGAGGGCCTGTGGCGGGCCTGAGGACCGGGAGCCGGGCGTGCGGGCCGCCTCGGTCCTTTCCGCAGGACTTGTTTTCCTTTGCTTAGACGTGGGAGACCCGCTACATGCTGCTCTTGTGGCTCTCCGTGATCTGCCTGATCCCTTTCGACTTCTCACGCCTCGACGGGAACCTTCTCTGTCAGCCGGGCCAGACGCGCATGTCCATCATGGACCGTGTCCTCCAGACAGCACAGGTGAGTGTGGCCCTGCCGACGCCTGTCCGGGGTGCGAGTCCTCTCCTGTGCCCGTGCCGCCGTGCAGTCCGGGCGCAATCAGGCGCACGCTCGACACTTCCGGGTCTCTTCAGCTGCTGCGGGTTGTTTTTCAGCGAGGTGAACTTCTACTTCATAACTTGTTTTGAAATGGTGGTAATTTGTGTAGGGGTCAGGATGAATTACTTTAGCAAACCTCATTTCTTTGTAATAGATATTGCAAATAATCTGAGCATAATGACATAAGAGGTTTCAGGGGCATTGGTGAGAGAAAATAGAGGTCCATTTTTTAAAAGATTTTACAGTATTTATTTTTAGAGAGAGGGGAGGGGAGGGAGAAAGAGAGGGAGAGAAACATAAATGTGTGGCTGCCTCTTGTGTGCCCCCTACTGGGGACCTGGCCTGTAACCCAGGCGTGTGCCCTGACTGGGAATCAAACCGGCGACCCTTTGGTTTGCAGGCTGGTGCTCAATCCACAGAGTCACCAGTCAGGGCCATTTTTAACTTACACTTTAATGTTATATAGATAATACATGATCACTGTAGGAAAACTGAAAAATAGAGAAGCAACAAAGACAATAAAATCTCTCAAATTCTAGTGTGAGGAGATAACACTTATGTATAGTTTTCAAACTTCTGATGCAAATGTAAATAGACATAGATTATTTGGGTGTCTATTGCTGCTTAAAAAGCTGCCTGAACAAGAGCAGTTGAACACCCTCGTCATCCCAGCCAGTGAGCTCTCCGGGCTCCCGGCAGGACCTGCTTCCAGGCTCTCAGGGTTGTTGCAGCGGGGGCCTCAGTTCTCTGCTGGCTGTTCCTCACCACGTGGGCCCCAACGTGGCAGCTTAGCCCACCTCCCTGCCCGCCCCCCACATTCTCCTGTTAGAGAAGCAAGTGGCTGTCCGGCCCACACGGGAGGGCCACCCAGGGCTCGAGGGCCCGCAGGCAGGATTGGGCACCTTCCACTCCACCCGCCCCGCTTCCCACGTGCCTGCTGCGTGCGGACGCTGCGCGACTGCTTCCCGCGGCGCGTGGCTCGTGCCGCCCTCCCCTGGGAGTCGGTTTGCGCCGCAGCCCTCGCTTTGCTGAGGGGTCTGTGGGCGCGAGGATGACTCCGCTGGCTCCTTTCCTCGGAAATGGTGACCCGGGCTTGGGCCCGGGTGGTTCTGCTCCCGAGCGTGTGCTTTCCACCGCGCGCCTCCCTGCTCACGCGCACAGGCCTCTGGCGTCCTGCTGTCGGCGGCCCTCGGCAGCCGGCGCTGAAAGTCTGTGTCAGAGTCCTCCCTCGCCCCCGGGTTGCTCCGGCCCTCTCCCAGGTGGACGTCCTGCTCTAGGGGTGTCTGTTGGCGGTGTGGCCAGGGGCACCGGTGAGTCCGGCCCTGTGGGCGCCTCCCCCCGACCGCCGGGGCCGCTGCGGGAGGGCGGCGCACTTCTGACGACTCGGGGCTCTGTCCGCAGTTATTCCCCAGAACGCCTGCCCCGGAGAGGAGCTCTTGAGAGCAATCTTTCAGAAAGCGTTAGTTGAGATGAGACTCAGGACTCGCTTAAGGTGGGCCTCCTGGGAAAGCTAGTGGCTTGTGTTAGACCCAGGCGTCCTTCCGTCTGAGAGGGGCCGGCTGACCGTTCTGACCCGAGACGCCGACCAGCCCAGGTCTGCTCCACGGACACTCTGAGGTCGGTGCGGGTGGGTGACACGGGGCTCCCTCTTCTTCTGCTTTGTCAAATGCGTTGGCGGGTCCCACGCGCCGTGTGTGGGTGTGGCACTTCGCCGAGGGTGAGTGCAGCACGGGGCCACTGCCGCCGCTGGTTCCAGTCTGGGAGCGGTTTGTGCGGCTTTGGCCTGTGGCCTCTGCCTGTGGCCTCTCCAGCCGGGGCCCTCGGGAGGCTGCTGCGTGTGGGGCGGGCCCCGGAGACTCACCCCGTCCTCTGTCCTCTCTCGTAGTCCTACCTGGTCGTCAGCGACAAGGCCCGGGACGCAGCTGCTGTTCTCGTGTCCAAGTAAGTGCCCGCCTGACCTCTGGTGCGCTGCTGCTGGTCGATGTGTGACTGGCGCATTCTGCGAGGGTGTGTCTTACGTACAGTGTCCCCGAGCGTCTGTTGTCTGCAGAAGAGGACGCCGGGTTGGGGAAGTGTTTTCTGCTCCCTCGTCCTGCCCCGTTCTTGGAGGGAGCACCGGCTCTGTTAGGGTGTGGGGATCTCTGAGCCTCCGGTGACCACTGACTGTGACAGTGAGGGGCTCCCAGGTCTCCCAGTGCTGGGTTGGGGGCCTCACAGGTGCCCTGACACTGGGCTGGGGGCTCAGGGAGGCCATCTGACAAGCCCATCGGCTGAGTGTAGGGCAGATTTGGAATAGGTGTAGCAGCTACACCTGGGGCGTGAGCTCACTTTTACGGTGGTGGCAGTTACGTGAGCTTTTGAATGTCACTTACGAGGGGGACCCAAAACCCCCACCAGTCATCTTCTGGAGGGAGGGCTCCGTGTAGGACAGACTTCCCCCATCTGGATCAGTGCACCAGCTCGCATTGTTGTGAGAGGCTGCATTCGGTCTCAGTGAATTTTTTCTAAGACTCAGTGTGTTTGCCCATTTCACGATGGGTGGTTTACAAGCGCACCTGTCCACACCATGCTGAGTGTTCAGCAGTTTTTGACCAAAAACGGCACAACTCCCATGTTCTCCCCTCCCTGTTCACCTGATCTCACCCCGAGAGAATTTCCTTTGTTTCCCCGATGAAAAAAAGTCCTCAAAGGGAAATGTTTTGCTGATGTGGAAGAGGCAAAACAAAAATTGGCAGAAGCACTAAAAGGCATCAAAATTGACACATTCAAAAAAATGTTTTGAGCAGTGGGAAAACGTCTCAGTAGGTGTATTGCATCAGTTGGAGAGCACTTTGAAGTGACGGGAGTTTAAACATGTGAGAATAGATACAGCCCTGACTGGTGTGGCCCACTGGATTGAGTGTCGGCCTGTGACCCCAAAGATCACTGATTCGAATCCCAGTCAGGGCACGTGCTGGGTTGCAGGCCAGGTCCTCCCAGTAGGGGGCACATGAGAGGCAACCACACATTGATGTTTCTCTCCCTCTCTTTCTCCCTCCCTTCCCTTTTCTAAAAGTAAATAAATGAAATCTTTAAAAGCAAACACAGTTTTTTATAAATAAATTCTGGGTTTTGGGGTCCCTCTCTAGAGAGCAGTTCACGCTGGGGTGTGTGCTCATCGTGAGCTGTGGTTGGGTGGTTGTGGCTCGGGGCGGAGACCCCCAGGTGTGCTGTGCTGACTGGACGGTGGGCTCTGCCTCACACAGGCCAGGGTGGCCCTGTCTGAGGAGGCGGGGGAGGCCGGCGGTGGGCCCCAGGCACGCGTGGAGGCTGCCGAAGCTTGTGTCCTGAAGTGCGAGAATGGAAGGAAGCAGGCTTCTAAGTTAATCCTTTGTGTGATGTGTGGTTGAAATGTGTGTAGAGTAAGTCAGAAGACCTGGCATTTGGGGGTTCCCTCTACATTAGTGCAAGTTCGAAATTGGCTCTAAAAACGTGTGGGTGTTCTGATTGGGAAATGGGTCACACCTCATTTGGGGCCACCTCCTGCTTAGCCGTCTGGCCATGGCCTTGCCCAGAGTGGGACGAGACCCTTGCCTGGCAGGGCAGGGGGCGTTGGGGAGACGCGGGTGAGGGCACTCGCTGAACCAGGGGCAGGCCTGGGGGAGAGGCCGAGCGCGGGTTGCGGTGGGGCCGGAGCGGCCCGGGACGCTTGCCAGGCAGAGCCCTCCTGCCTGTGACGGAGACCGAGAGGCGTGTGGGTTTCTCGAGGACTGTAAAAGGAACCATGTGTGTTTTGGGAGCTAAAGGAAAGTGCAGGATGAACTCGCACGTGCTCTGATCCTGGAGACGCAGCTGTCCTTGTCCGGAGTCCTGCCGGCGTGGCTGGGCGCGCGTCCCTCCTGGTCCGACAGCCCTGGGGCCCCTCGGCTTCTTCCCACGTGCTCACCCCGCGACCAGGTTGTCTCTGCAGCCTCCTGTTGGTTAGTCCCACCACGAACATCCTGCGTGAAACTGTGCCATTCCGGTCGATTCCTAGGGGCGCGTTCCTGGGAGTGGAACGAGCATGTCAGGGCTTTAAATGAAATCACTGGAAAGGCCAAGCAAGTCGAAAGTCACAGACCTTTCCGCTCAGGTACCCGTAAGTTGCGTGTGACCTTATGAATGAAGAACGCTTGTTTATTGCCAGAGATACGGAGGGTTTGGTAGACTTGTACTGAGCCTGGCTTTGTGGAGCTTCAAGCCGAGGCCCGAGGAGGTGAGACGCTAAACCTTCATTTCCTCCCGGGTGGGCCCTGGGAAAGGTGACAGCTACCCACTCAGGTGCAGTGTGGGGACAGGCTGAGCCCTGGGCAGGACTCGCCCTCGCCCTCTGGTGGTGGGTGCGAGCCAGTGCTCCTTGTGCTTGGTTCTCAGCGCTTGGGACAGCTCTGCCCTCGGGCCCACCCTGGTGCTCCTGGTCAGGAAGGGCGGTGCGCTCGTGGGCCAGGCTCAGAGCTGGCCTCGGTCCTCCCACCTCGTGGCACGCGCCGGGCGGGTGCTGACCCACGCGTTTCTCGGTCTCTTTTTGGTGGGTTGCTGTGATGAGGTCACGGGTGGGTGGGCAGGGTGGGTCGCATGTGGCTTTTGTCCTCTGCTCGTTCTCTGGCACTTGAGAGTCGGGTGCTCCGTTACAGGAGCTCTTCGCTGGACCGGCTTGCCCTCTCCCCTGCTGGTCACGCCGTGTCAGAGGCAGATGTGCCTGCGTGACCGTAGAGGCGGGCTGCGCTCCACGTGAAAGAGCTGGAGACTGTGGGGCACAGAGGGGCAGGAAAAGCCCCGACAGCTCTACACGCATGACACTCGGGTCGTTCTGCCGCTTTCGGTGCCGGCCTCACGTTGACCTCGCACTGCACACTCGCTGCCCGTGGCTCCCCGTCCCCGCGGCGCGGACGCCTCCGCGGTGCCCTGGCGCGGGGCCCCGGTAGCCAGTGAGCTCTAACCCTTCGTCTCCTCTGGGGCTCTGAGTGGCCCGTGTGACCCGGATTCTGACATCTGGGGTTCCTTGGGGCGTTTCTGTCTCCACTGGCTCGGGCTTCTCGCGTCGGCGCGGTGGGTCGTGGCCCCAGGGGGTCGGTGCCTTCTACTTTCTTCCTTGGACTAAAATTTTCATGCAGAGCAGTTTTTTCCTTTTACTTATTTATTTTTAAGTTTAGTCTTGTTTTTTTTTTTAAAGATTTCATTTATTTATTTTTAGAGAGGGAAGGGAGGGAGGAAGAGAGAGACATGCATCAATGTGCGGTTGCTGGGGGCCGTGGCCTGCAACCCAGGCATGTACCCTGACTGGGAATCGAACCTGCCACACTTTGGTCCGCAGCCCATGCTCAATCCACTGAGCTATGCCAGCCAGGGCGTAGTTTTATCTTATTAAGAGACTTTACAAATAGTCATTTACATTTCTCTACCTTTTTGTTGTTTAATATACAACTTTTAACCTATTTGGAATGTCTCTTGGTGTGGGGTTCCACAGTAGGTCTTCTCCCCTCACAGGTGGCTAATTGTTCTAGCGCCATCCTGTGCGTGTTTAGCTTTTCCGTTAATTTGTGATACTCTTTACAAGCACGGCAGGTTCTCAGCAGAATAGGGCCGTCACCTCCCCCGTGCTGTTCCCCTCTGAGACCAGGTTACGGAGTTCTCGGCGTGTGCTGACAGCACCGACGAGCACCCGGAGTGGCGGGCTGTGCCCCGCGCGTCCTGTGCTGGCGGTCTGGTCCCTCTGAGGGGCCTCGCTGTGGTCCGGGCTCTGCTGCTCGTCGTGCTGGCCGTGCTTGTGGGGCTGCTCTCTGACCTTCCTGCACGGGGTGGGTGACTGAGCTGTGGGGCCTGAGAGGCGAGGTCCCCTCGGAGGGGGTGAGGGTTCAGGGGTCTCAGGTTGTGTGCCAGGGCCCCCTTTCCTCTGGGCGGGAGAGACCGTCTTCTTTGTTGCTCACCGGTGTCTTTGGACCTCTCCTGTAAACGTGTCCCTTTTTTAGTGAGAAAGACATAAAGTAACATACTTAACTCTTTCAGAGGAGCCTTAAGTTTTTACCTGAATGTGGAAACTCACCTTGTGAGATTGTTCAAGGGGGAACCCCCGACGTGCAGCACACGGAAGGCTGAACTCCTGGCCAGGTGCTGCGGCGCGGAGGCACAGGAGTGATGGTCAGGCGAAGGTCGCGGTGGCGGCAGGAGGGGCAGGATCCTCTGGAGGGGCGGGCGGCCCGAGTGTCAGGTGCTGTGACCAGTCCGTCAGCCCTGGGCCCTCTTCTGTCCGGGGCACAGCACCCTGTGGTCCCTGGGCCCGTACACGCTGTCCTGTGGTCTCCGGCCCGGGGGCCAAGGTGGGGGTTGGGCTGCGGAGCAGGTTGCTGCACGCGTGGCCCTCACCCTGTGCTCCCGGGAGCGTGGGGTTTTAAGCAGGGCCGCTGAGGACGTTGCTGCAGGGTCTGTAGAACGCCCGTGCAGGTGGACAGGCACCCGGAGGTGCAGCCTGTGAGGGAGAACCCTGGGCGCCCCTCCAGACCCGTGAGACACCACATTTTGCGGTGAGCACATGAGTTGGCCTTTGTCACTGCATCCTGACGTTTCATAGAAATCCTTGGTGACCGGCCATCTCCAGGTGTGCACTCTGACGCGGGGACAGGAAGGCAGTCCTGGGGCCTTTGCTCGGCTCCTTTCTCTGAGGTAGAGACTCCCCTCTTGACTGCGGTTCCACAATCACAGGCCGAGCTGCTGCCGTGGGCACGGGCTGTGGCTATCCTGTGGGCAGCGGCCTGGGGGGCAGGGCAGGAGGTTCCCCAGGGTGCCGAGGGGGAGAGTGTGGAGCTTTACCACCTGCGGAGGAGGAAGAATGTCAACATGTCTTGAAAGAGGGATTCGGTTTAGGGCTGACCCTCTCTCAGTGTTCTGGGGGCTGCTGAGCGGAGTGTGAGATCCTCACCGTTCACCAGAGTTTGGGGGCCCTCCTCCTGCTGTTCTCTGGTCACACATCCCCTTGGGAGGTTGGCCCTGTGCTGCCTGCCACCCCGCTTCCTCAGCTGCTTGCTTTGTGTCCGTTTGCTTGTTTCCTGTGTGTCTGTCCCCAGAGTGCGAGCTCCCCCGGGGGCCCAGCCCAAGACACGGAATTGGAGAGCTGGGGGGGTTGGCGTGTGGATGGACAGGGGAGGAAAGGAGCGCCCGACTCTGGTGTGGGGGCTGGGGGATGGCTGCAGGCCCAGACCAGGGGTCTGGGTGGGTGGACGAGAGCCCGTGCCCCTGTCGGAGCTTTGGGGGCACACGCACAGTGCTGAGCGCAGGCCTGGCACGTGGGGTCGTGGGCAGCCGCTGGAGCCCTGTGTGGGGAAGGGCACCCACCGCAGACGCGGGTGAGAGGTGCGGGCCTGCTGCTGGGCAGTGTCTTCGGAGGAAGGAGGGCGGAGGCGCGGGCATTGGTGGGGCTCCCGGGCAGCCGTGGGGGCCGGTGGAGGTGGCCCTGAGGTGAATGGGGCCTTGGGGTGAGGGGTCCCAGTAAGGAGGAGGGGGTGTGTGGCCTGAGTGTGGCTTCAGAGCTCCTGGCGGGGAGCCGCCCCCAGGACCGCAGTCTGGGCAGCGCCTTCGTCCCTTAGACCGGCAGTGTTGCCGGGTGTCTGTCCATGACCCGGCCGCAGAGGGTGAGGACGGGACGGGTGGGCGGGGGGGCGAGCCCTCCACGGCTGGGCCGGGTCGAGCTGTCGCCCACCTGTGTTCTCCTTGGCAGGCTCATCACGCGGCCTGACGTCAGACAGCAGGCGATGGCGGACTTCCTGGACTGGAGCCTGTGCACGCTGGCTCGAGCCTCCTTCCAGACCATCGAGGGGGTCATCGCCATGGATGGGACGCTGCAGGCCCTGGTAAACGTGGCCCTGGGGGAGGGCAGCTGTCAGCGGCCAGAGTGCCGCGCTGTCCAAGCAGCGGGACGAGTCCCGCTGTCTGCGTTCCGAAGTAGTTGGGACGCAGCGGGTATCCGGTCCTGACAGGGCAGGGGGCCAAGTGTCTTTCCGCTGCTTTGGACGGGACCTGAGGGCCGCCGAGGGCTCGCCGCTCCTGTGGGAAGGAGCTGAGCGGCCTGCTGGTCGCCGCCAGGGGGCAGTGGTGCCCGCAGAGCTGTCCGGGCGGCAGGCAGGGCGTGTCCTCCTCTGGTTTCCTACTGCTCACTGTCTTGAGGAGTGTAATTACTGGAGCGGGCTCTGATGAAATCAGGCAGGTGCTCAGGCTGGGGTGTCTAAAGCTGGGTTAAACACAGACCTGACACCTCACCTTTCCTGGCTGTCCTGCTTTGCTCACCTGTGGCGTTGCCTTTTCTAGTTCAGGTTCCGCAGAAGGGGGCCGGCGGCCCACGCCCAGGGGCTTGTGGGCCGGCGCACCCTCCTGGAGAGCACCCAGCCCCGAGCCCTCCCGCCCCGCCTGCCGCTCTTTGACTGCAGTGGGGAGCTGTCACTGCTGTCCCCCTCTGGGAGGCTGCAGAGGCCCCCGGCCCCCTTTCGGGAGAGCAGGGCGCTGTGGGCTGCGTCCAAATCGAGGGGTTGGGGCCCGTGACTCAGTGTGATGTTGGGTTCTTGGGTGTGCCTGTCTGCTCTCATGGGCTGTTGCAGGCTCTGATGAGGTGGTGTGGGAGGCCGGGAGGGCCAGCGGGAAGTGGAGCGATGATGTGATAACCCGGGGCAGTGGGCGGGGTGTGGGAGGCGGGGTGCTGGTGGCCAGCTGCAGGCCCCGAGGGGAACCCTTCTCCCCAAGGTTCAGGCCCGGCGGGAGCTGCCTGCCTGGTTTTCTCCTGGAGACATTCTCCGCGTCTGTCCCTCTTCATTCCTGTTACCATTGTCTTCAGGAGGGATTCCTTTTCAAGTGATGAGAATATTTGAGACATGTGAAAACAGAAACGTCGAGTCCTGCCTGGTGTGGCTCAGCGGACTGAGCGCCAGCCTGCGAACCAAAGGGTCGCCAGTTCGATTCCCAGTCAGGGCACACGCCTGGGTTGCAGTCCAGGTGCCCAGCAGGGGGTGTGTGAGAGGCAACCACACACTGATGTTTGTCTCTTTTTTCTTCCCTTCCCCCTGTTTAAAAATAAATAAAATAAAAAAAAAAGGAAATCTAGAAAAATAAAACATTTCCAGGATTCCCATTGAAGTAATGTTTTTAAATTTTTTCTTCCATTTTATATAAATGTTATGTCTCAATTTTAAAGAAACTGTTGTGTAAGTTAGTGCAGTTAGTGCATGTACTTTATGTGTGCACAAGGCTGTGCAGCCATCACCACATGCTACTTCTGGAATATTCTCATCGCCTCCGAAGGAAGCCCACACCTGTCCGCGTCGCTCCCGGCTCCCTCACTGCAGCTGTGGGTTTGCCGTTCCGACGTCTCACACGCGTGGGACCCGCGGGCGACCTCTCGGGGCCTGGCCTCTCTCCTGAGCGTGCGTTTTGGCTCACCTGTGCTGCAGCCCGGGTCGGTCCTTGTTCCCGTTTATGCCCACGTGATGGACCCTTCACAGGAGTCCTGGCTGCCGCGGGCGATGCCGCCCGGGACCCCCTTGTGCTAATTTTTGTTTGAGCACCAGTGCGCACTTCCCTTGGGACCGCAACAGCCGCGTTTGAAGTACATTTAACAATTTAAGTATTCTCGTTTATGAGGTCTGTAAACACTTTCTGTCTGCACATCTGCCGTATTGCTGATGGTGGGATGCCCACACATGTGGGTGCCCAGCCTGTGCCTTCAGGTGGCTCTCATTCTGGCTGGACCTGGGGGGTGCCCTGGACTCCCTGGGATGTGTGGCTAACCGCTGTGGTGGAAGTCGATCGGGGTGAGGCTCTTGGGGAGGCTGCCCAGTGCGGAGTGCAGGGCGGGGGTGTGCGGGTCACAGCGTGTGCCCCGGGCCGTCGTGGTGTGGGTCCTGGGGCAATGCATTTGTGTTTAGGCAGTTCTGGTGGAGGAGGGTGGATGGGGTTGCGATGGTTTATTTGAAGGTTTTGGTGTAAGTGGACTCCTGATTTCTTGCCTTGAGTCGCATGGAGAAGTCTTAGGTCATGGAAAAACCGTGGAAGGTCTGACAGAACGTGGCCGGAGCCTGTCCGTGCACTGTGGCCTGCAGGGGGGACAGTGAGTCCCGCCTGAGCGTGACGCTGCTTCTGCAGGGGCAGCGCCCTCGAGCGAGCTGGAGCCAGCGGTGTGGCTGTGGCCAGGGGGCAGGTGCCCTGTGCTGGGCAGTGGGGCGTGTGTGCTCCAGCCACCGTGAGACGCTCTGATGGCTTCCCGGTCCCTCGGCTCTGGCTTTATTTTTATCTGCCCGATCATCAGTGTGGGCTAGGTGAGCCAGGAGAATGTGTAACAAGGACCACGGAAACTAGGGGCTGATTTTTATTTTTTTACTATTGATTGTTTCAGAGAGAGAAACGCCGGTTTGTTGTCCTGCTCATTCATGTGCTCACTCACAGGCTGGGTCTTGTACGTGCCCTGATCCTGGGGATCGAACCTGCAACCTGGGCACATGCGGGTGATGCTCTGACCCCCTGAGCTGCTGGGCCAGGACTGTGAGTTGATTTTTGTTTCCCTTGAGGCATGTTCTTTGGCTGGAGAAGGTCCTGGGGCCACTCTGTCCAGTTTTACAGTTGCTTTGCCAACAGATTGCTTTTCCTCACATTTTTGATCATCTGGCTGCTGTCTTAAGAGCGTTGCACATTTTCTGTTTTTTTTTCCCCCTTCCCAGAGTGCCGGTGTGTGCATTGAACAGCCGCCAGCTGCAGGGAGGGCTGGCACCTGCCCCCGGCACACTGACCAGCCAGTGGTGGGGAGTACTCTTTATTTGGATGTCTCCAAGCTCCACGCCTGGGACCAGGGAAGTTCTTTTTCCAATTTCTCCTGAGAAATAAAAAGATTTCCTCAAGGCTTAAAGAAACCTCGCCCTCGCCCCCGCCCCTGCCCTGTGTGGGCGAAGGATGAGGAAGGTGCACTCCTCTCCCGCAGGGCACTGGACGTGCGTGGGCCACGCCTCAGCAGCCTGAGTTGCGGCCTGACCTGCGGCTGGGCTCCCTGGGAAGTGACCGTCCGGACTCCTGGGGAGCAGCGGCCTGCGGGGCAGCAGTGTCCCCTGGAAAGCCTGGGGTCTCTCTGGAACGACGCGCCCTGCTCCCTCTTCTTTACCTGGAGGGCAGTTGGGTCTCGTGGCCGTGCCGCCGGCGGGGCAGGAGGAAGCGCCGAGCTCTCGCGGGCGACACGTTGCGGTTTCGCCATGAGCTCGTCAGACCTGACGCCCAGCAGCGGCCGGGCGTCCAGGAGCATGATGAAACTTGCGGGGTGTTGTGCTTGTGCTGCAGGGCTTCAGCCGCTCCCTTTGAGGCACTTGGCTTCGCTTCCAGCCACCTGTTCATTAGTGTGGGCTAGGCGAAACAGGTGAACTCGTAACAAGCACCATCGAAACTAGGAGCTGATTTTTATTTCCCTCGAAGCATGTGCCTCTCGCAGCGATGATTTTTAACTCCTGTGGGAGGGAAACAAGTGTTTGGCAGCCTCCCTGCACTGGGAGGCCCCTTTGCTCTCGCTTCGTAAAGCACCCTTTGGGTTAGTCCCACTCAGAGCGTCAGGATTAATGCCGGTCGGGGCGGTCTGAGGGAGGAGAGCAGATACAGTCGAGAGTGGCTGTCCCTGGGCCCTCGGGAGCCCTGCGCACTTCCCGCTGGGCCTGCTGCCTGGCACTGCTGCTGGGAGAGTCTGGCTGCTCTCCCCGGGGACTGGGGGGTGCGCGGGAAGGCCCGCTGCTGAAGCGGGGTCCTTCTGGGTGACAGTGCCGCCAGCTTGTCGTTGACAGCAGGCCCCCCCTTGGTAAGGGGAGCAGTTGCAAACAAGCACACAGAGAGCCAGGTAGGCAACAGGCTGCCCGCCCTGCAGGCCCCGCCCCCGCCCAGAGCTCTGTGAGGGGCAGGGGCGGCGCCAGCCCCTCGGCCCAGGTGGGACAGGCTGCCCCGGTGTGGGGAGGTGCCTCTGCCCTGGGCACCTGGCTGCCCCACGGAGGCTGATGTAAGTGGGCCAGTCCCGAGCCTGGGGATGCTGTAGCAACACCTGTGACCCCAGGCAGAGGTGAGGGCCTTGCTCCACACCCGTCTGCAGAAGGGAAATAACAAGCCTCTTTCCTCAGAGGGTGGTGTGGCGGCTAATTAGTGTGTGCTGTGCTCTTTGAAGATGAAAAGAAGCCACTTGATTATCCAGAACAGTTCTCATGTCGGCTTTGATTTCTTTTCTTTTTTTAATTTAAAAATTTTAATTGATTTTAGACAGAAGGGTGGAGAGAGAGAGAGAAAGAGAGAAACATTGATTTGTCATTCTACTTATTTATGCCCTGGTCGGTTTCATCAGTTGATGCTGTACGTGCCTGACTGGGGTTGAAACGCACAGCCCCGGTGTGTCGGGGCAGCGCTCCAACCCGCTGGGCCACCCGACCAGGCGTGGTCTCTCTTCTGTTGGGGTCCCTTGGAGATTGGCACCCAGTGGTTTTCTTCAAGGTTCAGTTTGGCCAAGAGGACAAACTGTCCAAACAGGGCTTCTTAGTCATAGGACTGGCCGGGCCGGGGTTCCGGGCGAGTGAGGAGAAGGCGGTGAGGGCCATCTGAGTGCGTTTGTCTTCGGAGTGGCACTGGTGTGGCCGCTCTGTGCTCTGGCAGGACTCGGGTGGAGCGAGGCACCCTCAGTTTCCCTGTGGGATTAGGTGAAGATGCTGAGCAGCCAACTCTGACACTATTTTAATTTCGAGTAACTCAGCACTTTACGTGGGGCAGGTAGCACGGGGGTGGCAGGAGTCTTGTCGAAACCTGCGTGTGTGGGGCACGCCTTTAATTCACTGGCAGGCCAGGTCTGTGCACCTGC